CTCCCCCTCCGACCACCACTCCCTCCTTGCTCTTCATGCATCAGCGCCGGCCTTTATGCTCGTTTGGCGAAAACTTGCCCCCTTTGTGGTAGTGGCGGTGTGCAGCGGGGCTCGGTGCAGCGGCAGCCAGCGGCGATACAAGGGGCTTTCCGAGGAACGAACGCGAACGAAAAAGAAGGGGGAGGGGGTGGGGGAGCAAAACATGCGCACCTTTTCTTGCAACGACACATACCACACCACACGGCCTCTGCCACAAGGCCGCGCAATGTCCCGTGAAGCGTCTCCCCCGGCCAGCCCTGCCCGCTGAGAGGCCTCCTGCTCCTGCGTGACCTCCCAACGTCGAAGGAAACGCCCGGAGGAGCCCCCCGTCTAAAAAACCCACTCGTAGAAGAAAAATCCCCACGAAGGGTCCTCTCGTTCCCAACCCCTCCATTTCCACTACTCGCATTTTTCCATCTCATCCAGAAAGCTTCCAGGAAAGGGTCAGGCGGGCCAGGTATAGGTGGGTAGAATGCCAAGCTCAGGTCGTCGACGCAACCGTAACGCAACCGAGAAGCAGCAAAATCCCGGCCGCCAAGCGAGTCCGAGAACGACGCCAGTCTGTTCCGCGTACCGAGCGGGGCGGGGCGGGGCGGGGCGGGGCGGCCAGGGCGCTGCTGCACGTGGGGCGGCCGGTGTCAAGTTCATGCCGCGCGCTTGCAGGGGTGCCAACCACGGTGGGGTTTGGATAATCGATGCAGACCCCCTGGCCCGTGGGGGAGGGGGGGGGGGCAGGACCGTGGCGTAGTGGGCTCATAGGCCCGCAGCTCGACGCGATACACAACAAAAAATGGAAACCGAAGATCATTTCCAAAGGGATATATATAGAAAAGATAAAAAAGGAAGGCACCCTTTTCGCCTTGAGGCGAATAAGACGCAGCAAAACGTCGTCGTCAAATGGCACGAAGTGCGTCAGCGATGTGTGTGCTGCACCTGGACCCGGAGAGAAAGAGGTTGATTGATAGAAACCCCCCCGAGTTGCATCACACGTGCACGGGCGTACGAACCCGCAGTGCAGCTGCCCTTCTCTCCCCCACAGAGTTGAGCCAATTTTCCAGTTCCTCCACGCACCCCCACCGCCACAACCGCCACCCCGCTAGAAAATGGAGGCAGCGTCGTGTGTGTGTGTGTCACGGTGTCAGCAACGCGTCCCCGCCCCGGCTGCAGCTGCAACAATTATTTCACACAATGCCAGGCGCATTCCACACACTTTTTTTTATATCATTCGCTTAATCTGCCTATAGGAGCCACACACACACCAACCCCTCGCGTCGGCCTCGCCGGGCCGGGCGCGGTCATGCAGGCAGCCAGCCGGGACAGACCGGGCCGGCAGCCAAGCAGGCAGGCAACCTAGCCAGCGCGCTTCCAAACACCCATGTGTGTACATGCACGCTAAGCCATGCGCACCCCATACCTACCCCCTTGCCCCGACCTCACCCCCCCCCCTCCCCAATATAATGCAAACAATATAGCATGTTCGAACTGCCTCCACCCCTTTGTACCCGCCCTTTGTCCCCCACCCCCTCCATACGACGTATCGGACGCCATTTTCTATTCCCTCCCCCAAACTCGGCAAGCACACCTGCTCCCCCTCTCCTCCCCCCGCGCCGGAACGCCGACCCGAAGTACGTCTTGACTTCAACCCCACCCCCAAGCAATGACTCTACTCATACATACAGCCTTAGAGGACCGACGGCTTTTTAGTTCAGACGAGATCTTTCTAGCTCTACTGAAAGTGTCCACCTCGATACAAGGTGGTAATACTTATTTTTTATTTAATAAGCAAATCAAGTCTAAATACCAATTTACTCCATCCCCAGGACAGATAAAACTAGTTGGTGAACAAAGGACGCAGGCTGGGGGAAGTCCACACATTCGCAGCCTACAGCGAGGGAGTGGAGGGGGGGTAACAGAGAGGCGCGAACATCACAAAATAATCTCACACACATACACTGCTTCGCCCGCGGGGGTCGTACGGCCGAGGTGGCGCCCAATGTTGTCACAGAAAACAGCCCCGTATCGCTTCCTCGCACCTGTGACCAGCCCCTGGGGGCTGGGGGCTGCGGGCGCCGCTTGTTAGGTTGTGCAAACACGCCGCCGCCGCCGAAGTCTCTGGGGGCGTGGCAGGGCGTGGCAGGGCGTGGCAGGGCGTGGCAGGGCGTGGCGCCGGCCCAAACCCACCCCAAAATCACCGCCAGCCAACCCCAGCGGCGGCCGCAGCCACCCTAAGGGGCGCGCGCACCCCTGCCGCCGTCGCACTCCCGCAGCGCAGCGCCCCCGGGGCGCCCCGACCTCAGCCCGGCGCGACGCGGCCGAGTGCCCGGCCGGCGGGGCGGAACTGCTACTAAAAGTGAAGGAATAGCCAATCTCCCTCACCCGGCCGCAGCCCGGCTGTAGCCGCCCGCCGCCCGACACCCGCCGTGTTTGCAGAGAACACAATTTGCCCTTCGCTTCCCTCCCGCGGGGACACGCGCCCCGGCAGGGCCGCCACGCGCCGCCGCCGCTGTTTGCGCACCCGATACGCAGCGCCACCGCCAAGTGGCCCTCAGAGGCGCCACGCAGCGCCGCCGCAGCGCCACGCGTTGGAGAGGAAAAGGCACGCAGACACACAGGAAAAGAAACAATTTGGGACCTGTACTGGCGGTTCGCCGAGCAGCACTTCATAGTATTACGTCGTCTAAACTTGGGAATATGTACCGCTCAAGGAACTCACACAGACCTTACCTTTGTGATATTTTGTAGATACCCGAAAAGTTACTACCTGTCTTGGTCCTGAACCTTCTGAAAGGGCATGATTGTGCACATATATTTGTACCCCGCCTTCCCCCTCCCGGCCACGCAGAGTGGTCTCATTCAAGGCGAGACTTTTGCGCCATAATTTGAAATCAGAGGGGGTGCTCACCATCCCTAGAGAGCTATAGTTCTCCGAGGTTTGCGAACTCCAGTCTAGCCAAATTTGGCTGTGCTGAGTCCAGAAACAGCTAAATAAATTTAAATTAGTGGCGCGAAAATCCCATCTTGTGTGGGATACCCTGACTGCATGACGCCCTTGTCTCTCGTCCGCAACTGGCAGTGAAAACTCGCCGTCAAGCATGAGGCTGAGAGTGAGGCTCGGCTCCGCGAGAGAGGAAAGTCCACACCACACACCGCAGAGGAGACACCGGCACCCCTCCAAGTGGCCGCGGACGCGCCGTGCATCGTATCCCATAGGGGGTGGGGGTGTGAGAGCGGACACAGCGGTGCGACAGCCCAGCCCAGCCGACCAGATTCGCTGGTGTGTTTAAAATTCAATCAACATCACCGTCCCGTCCCGTCGCCGCGGGGGAGGGGAGGAGGAGCAGTGGGTGACAGCGCGGCAGCGCGCGGGGCTAGAAGCAAGGGGGAGACACTCAAAATCATCACAAATTTCCTTTCGCCCAATAACCAGCCCGGCCCCGGCCCGGCCCGCGTGCGAACGTTGACGCGGCGCCGCAGCTGGCTAAACTCTGGCGTTGTCGCCCTCCTCCTGCTCTCTCCCCCGCGAGCGGCCGACACACCAAGAAGAGGCGGCGGCGGGCGAGGCGGGCGCACGGCGGCGTGCAAATGCGAATTACCCGACAACAGACTCATTGTCGACACGTTTCCGACGCAAACAGCCCTCCCTCTCGGCCCCACGGCGACGGCCTCCCCCGCGCGACTTCAACCCCATTTGCATCCAGTGTATACGCACGCCTGCTGCAACCAAAATGTGTCACTTATCGCGGGTCCTGCAGATAACCACACTTCCAGAAGTGGGGAAACAAAACCTTTTACTTTTTTGTTTTGTTTTGTTTTTAGAAGTGGGCCACGGTGATGGCGGACTAGTACCCGCATGGCGTCGGTATACGCTGTTATCGTACCCCGCTACACTAAGGTGCGTGGCCCAGTAACACTGCGGGGAAAAGTAGTGTAAGTGCCCATACGATGCGATCGCAAACGAAATGAAACCGATCGCACGAGCTCACACTCCATCCATACCCCGAATTTCCAAAACTGCCAATCATAAAATCACGCCTGTATTTTTTGTCTGGCGCTTTCTTCTGCCATGCCACCCCTTACACTCCCCATTGTATCCCACAAGGGCAAAAACTTTTTTAAAAGTGTTGTTCTTTCCCCTCCTCGCCCCCTTGCGGCCGCTACTACACTTGCACTTACGGCTCGGTGGCGACGCAGGGTCCGGGGGCTCACCCCCGATCAGATGGGGCTCCCCGATTTCGCAGAAGGTGCGAACACAACCGTAACACTAAACCACACGCCCAATTATCATTATGCTGCAGGAGGACCAACGAGGACGACAAGGGCGCTCCACTTCTTTTTTTGTTATTTCTTTCTCTCCTCTGGCTCTTCCCCGGTGCCCCC